GGTTGGGAAACACTGTTCTAAATAATGCCGCGAGTGGGGCTTGAGGAAGTGACGTCGCCTGCGTCTGCGCAGTGCGACCTGATGCAGCCCCTGAAGCGAGACACAGGAAACAGAAATACTGCAAAATAATAATAATAACGCGACTAAACTAACGTTATAAACGTTATAACATTTCGTTTCGTCTCGTTTTGGTCAACGAAAATGAAGAGACATTTTAGCATTTTGTAAATTTTGTAAACCACATTTAGTCTCGTTTTTATTCGTCAACGATATTGCATTATACATTTAATTATAGTCATCGTCACATGACCAGCATTTTCGTCTCGTCTCGTTTTCGTCACGTAATAAAGGTTCGTTGACGACGATATTTAGTCATAATTTTCGTTGACGAAAGCAACACTAGTCTGAACAAATCTAAAGATGATATAAGGGTTCAATTGCAGGGTATACTGCTTATGTAGCCCCATAACAGCAGCCTATATATCCATACACAAATAATCACACAAGTCGTGTTTTTTATGAATATTATATTTATTATAAAAATATGTTCAATCAAAACTATTTACTGATATTTACAATGTCTAGCTCTGTTCATAGCCATGTTCAATTCCCATAGTCTCATAATGATTTTATAAATGCTCCTTTCTTTTGAAAACTGTACTCATTGGTGTTAGATGTCAGAGCCTTCCTTTTTTTTCTTGTCCAGTTCACAGGCATCTTTATATTACTTTTTGTCATTTGTATCAGAGTCCATCTCAAAGTCTTTGTTCCCATTTTGGATGGCATCAGTGACATCATATACATTATAAAATTATGACCGTCTGATAGCTTATTGTGCTCTTTTTATAATGATAATAGCACGTATAACCCCCACATTCCAGAACATTATCACCTGGCCCTCATGCATCAAGAACACATTTGAGCAAACTTTTAAAAGTTAAGCCCAGAAAAGAAAACAGAACCAGTTAAGTATATTTTAAAATTTAGTTTTAAATATTGCATGACAAATAATTTAAAATTCTCAAAGAAATAATTTATTTTTTAATTCAACTTGAACTGATCATTTACTGTAATAATCATTTAATTTGGAATAAAACTCAAAATGGTAACAAATAAGACATTAAAAATCAACATTATATTTTGTCACTGACAAAAATGGTCAAAAAGTATGTTGCTAACAAATTAGAAGTACAATTCATTCATGTAATGTGTAAGGTGCACAGGCAAATTTTGCTTCCACTCTAGCCCAATGTTGTAAAATTACACCATTGACATAAAAAGCTAAAAATCTAATTTAATCAAAGTATTTAACAGTACCTTAATATCTGCATGATCTACACATATTATTAATCACAGAAAAAAATATTTTAGGCATTATACTTACTTGCATGTTGATTTATCCAGTCCAATAAAAAAGGTGAAGTTCCTTGAAGTAAGTGTGCAGGTTGTGTAAGTTTATGGCCAGGTAAACAGACCTATTTACAAAATATACCAGCCAACAACATAGCAGGACTGAACAATAGGACCTACTATTTGTGTAAAAAGGCTAAAAAAACAAGTACAGGTTTAATTTAGTGGAGCTAAAACTGATGTTGTAATATTAGAGCAGTGAGCAAACAACAAAAGACAAATTCAAAATCACACACTGCTCTTGAGTGAAGGACTTTTGTAGCTTTAATAAGAAACAAAGAAAGTTTAATTCTTACAGTGAATACTATGCTGTTTTATTTTACATTTGATTATTCATTTCTGTAGTAGGCTGTTAACTGCTTGAGACTTGCATAATGTTTATTAAAAAACATTAAAGCACAGTTTGTTTCACTTGTATCTTTTTATTCTATTGTATTTGTCCTTTGCTTTTTTTATTACTGACAGTTTAATTATTTTCAATAATTTGAGGACTTTTTGATTGTTTGTTACTAATAGGCTAGTTACCTAATACTCTGCTGTGGCATTGAGAATTGTGAAATTTTGCTGGTCTCTACAATGTAGATGTCATAGCAACCTTATTTACAGGAAATATATATTTGATATGTATCGCTATCTTTAAATAAATCACTCATATAAAGTTTTGGTCATATGGCCTCCTCATAATCATGTTAAATAATCGTGATTACAATATTGACCAAAATAATCGTGATTATGACTTTCCATTTTTGAGTCCAACATGCATCAGATGGTCCATGAACGGACCGAGGGCAGTTCATAGACTCTCAGTATGAAGCAGTCTGGGAGTTTTTTGTGTTGTTTTCAAGTTGAAGCTGGATGGACTCACCTCTCGGCGCACCATACTGCACTCCTGTCTTTCCAGCAGGATGTTGAGTAACGCGGCCCACAGACCTCCTGAAATGTTCTGGCAACTCTCTGACAACGCCACACACCCTCTCTCCAGCGAACTCAGAGCCGCACCCACAGCCAGGCTGGCACAGCGGACCTAGAGCCAGACAAATACACACACACACACACTTGTGTTCAGACCCAGCACATGTGCTTGGCAGTGCTAACTGCCATGGGCTCTTTGGCGTGTAGCACTGGCACAAATTATGTGTTTGTCATGCCCATTATTTTCAGTGCTCAGCATCTGCTGAGCTGAGGGAGGCCTGGACACGCACGAGTACTTGGGAAAACTATCCAAAATAGAAGGCCAAGGCACACAAATTGCTAAATAAGGTTTTCATCAAAATTATGGACACGTACATTTAGTAAATTTACATTGTCTATGATTGCATTCAGTGCCAATGTACAGAGAATGTTAATTTAAGAAAACAAGGTGAATCAGTATTTGGTGGAGCTTTGAAAATCTAAAACAATTTCAATTATTTCAGATCTTGTACTTTTGATCCATTTAAGACCACATCGGGATGTTATTTTTAAATGACTTTTTTGACAGAACTTCATTTAAGAAACACTGTCAAAATTTATAATCAATATATTGTTTTTAAATTGTGGGTAAATGATTCAATGCAGCACATAAGAAGTCCATGGACTTTTGTCCAAATCAACGTTGTAGGTTAAAATTTATATAAATGTATGGGAAAATATGTCAAGTTCTTTAACTGACAGTGTTGTTAACTGAATCTAAAACAAAAAAAAAATGTTTTCAATAATTGAAATAAAGTTGAAAATTACATAAATATTAGATGAAACTTTGACAAATAACAAAATTTTGCCTTGGCAACTAACTGAAAACAAGTTTAAGTACTACATTATTTAAACTTAAATATAAATAAAAATAACATTTTAATTAATTAATCTTCATTTTAATAAATACAATTTAATTAATATTATAATATTCAAAAATAAACTCATTCAAATTACAAAAACTTTATTATAAATTATTAAAGCCTAAACTAAAATTAAAACTGAAAATACAAAACTAAAGGCTAATTCAAAATGTTTATATAAAATTTATATAAAACTATTTATTATACCAAAACGCTGTCAACTGTTCCCCATTAGTTTTTTTTTTTTTTTTTACAAATTTGTACAGTTTTTTTTATCGCCATCAATATTTAATTTTAATTGGTCATATGGTGTAAAACAAAATTAATAATTTAAAAAAACTCAAATTATGTATACCACAAACTGCATTCATAATAATTATAAAATAATTAGCAAATGCTATTTAAAAGTTCTAGATTACCTTTAGCATGTCACACCAAAGGACATGTAAGCTTCCAAAAAGTATTCAAAACAGCACTTTGTTAATTACCTACTGTATAGCCATAATGTGCATTTTATAAAGGTCTCACCTCAGGGTCTCGGTCCACCCACAGAGGAATTAACCAGGCCAAGCCAAGCTGGGTGGCACTCTGCCCATCAGAACTTTGCTCACGGCCCAGAGACCACAAAAATATCCAGTCCTTAAACAACACACATTTACATTTAGTCATTTAGCAGACGCTTTTATCCAAAGCGACTTACAAATGAGGACAATAAAAGCAGTCATAACTAACAAAAGAGCAACAATATGTAAGTGCAAATGACAAGTCTCGGTTAGCCTAACGCAGTACACGTAGCAAGGTGTGTATATATATATATATATATATATATATATATACACAAAAATTAGAGTAACACACAAACACTCTAAATATGGAGTACTGCTGTACTGATAACTATTCCACTTAATATTATACAGAATATCTAGTGATGAACCGATATAATCAGCCAACATCATGTTCATTAATTTGATTAAGTAAGGAATAATTGATGACGGGTCGTTGAATTATTAGAAAAATAATGCACACCCGAGGTGGTGATGCGGCCACAACGCGATGCGGAATGCTACGATTACCACACCTCAAGACATCGATCAGATGATATATTTAAAGGGATTCGTCCGGTTTTTGTACTTAAATCGCTATTGCTATCTCATCCAACGCCTCTTTTGCTAGTTCCAAAACGTCATTTTAAAGGGGTCATACGATGCTGCTAAAAATAACATTATTGTGTGTATTTGGTGTAATGAAATGTGTTTATGCGGTTTAAAGAAAAAAA